CACAGTCATCAAAACCTAAATCCTCGAATTTGCTCGTGGTCAGTACACCAAATAACCCAAGTATACAATTTCGCATCGAATTTGGTGAGAAAGATGCTGGCGCCAAACTGGTGCAGGACGGCGCCAGCGCCAAGAACTGTTGCGATACTTGTGATCATCGGGTCACCCTAAGGGACAAAAACTTAGCTGAAACTTTAGCCCCTCTTTTCGACTTTCACATTCAGTCTCAGTAGATAGTCGCATCTGATTTCCTACATATACATATGTTACATCTTTACTGTTATCACTTAGGTGATAATGAAACCGTTTTCTTTACATTTCATGCACTGCGCACACGAAAAAGCTTGAATATTAAAGGAGCATCTGAGCATGTAGCATCCGAGAGCAGTTGTAGCTGTAGCGCGTCGACGCGCATTACAGCGCACGAACGCGCATCGGGCGCGCGACGACGCAAAGCCTGAACGCTGCCTCAAGCGGTTGCATACTTCATGAAACTTTCGCAGTGTCTATAACGTTAAACACCAAGATGGGTGGTGTTTTGACATTCGGCCTTCTCTAAGAAAGTCGCAGATGGTCAAGGTGAAAGCCGGTTTAATGCAGCATCACTTAGGAGGCCTTATAGCATTGAAGCATGCAGTGGAACACATCTTAAGCGGGATGTCAAAGCTCATGCAAATCCAACGCAACTTGCATGAGGTCAAGTGAAAATTCTTCTTAAATATCCTGAGACGACTCTTTTGCTTGTGAATACCAGTCGGCTCGCCGGCTAACGCCGGCGCGCCTCCTTCTGATACGGCCCGGCTGCGCCGGGAGCGCGGCTTCGCCGCGCGTATTTTCTTTCACATATTTCTAGACTCAACTGATATCCGCCTTTTGTTCTGTACTCCACTTTTTTCCGGTGTCTGAAGTACTCTTGAGCTATTTTACAGATTCTTCGTCTGAGGGCTACTATCGGCTGGCCAACGCGTTACCGTTTCGCCTCGACGGAAAAACTGTAATAAATCCGGTCCCAACCTACCATCTTGTACGGTGATTGGAAGGCACAGATTGGACCCTTTCGAGTGGCCGTACAGCTTCGGAGGCAACAGTGTCTGTGTGTGTGACTCGGGACAATCGGCGGGGCTTTGTGCTAATCGGTCCTCTCCGATGCACGGTTTGATGGAGATGGGCGGCACCCAGCATGATAGATGGTGAAGTTGACGAGATATAACAGGGGACGGAGCGGAAACTCCAGTCACGGCAACGTGAAGTAAAATTTAAGGATTGTCACCGCCCTGCATTCTAGAACCCTCTTATCACCAAAGCGCCAGGACCGCAGCGCTATCCGTAAACGCGCCCTGCAAAAGATCACGACTACAGAATGCAGGTAATCGCGACACCACGGTAAAGGTCTCTCCTTCTCAGGTGTGGAGAGGTTTTGATTAGTGTTTTGCTGTTTTCTTCAAATTATGTGAATTAGCACCTCGTGTTATTCAGTGTGTGTCATATAGCCATCGTTCCCGTGCCTTTGAGCGCTCGCCCTTATTTTACCCGTTACCCTTAATAAACTTGTGAAATACACGGCAGCGAATGAAAAAGGGTTCGTTCAAGCTTATAAAATGCGAAAAAATGAGAGTTGAAAATGAGTGCTGGATTATGAGAAGTACAGCAGATTGTGGCGTTTATGTTTGAAACGCTTTCATTACTGGACTACGCGCCAACAAAGTGTCATCATTGCGTAGCTACGTGCCTGTATTGCTCCTTGCAATTATATGAAGAAGAAGCTAACACAAGATTATAGGTTCAGGTTGTTAGGGGGTGTACAGTACCCCGAAAATTGCGCGTGGGATTAATTGTGTTGTCCGTGGATGCACACAACGGGGCCTGGTTCTGTGTGACCACTTAGATTAGGCGTGGGGTACTGTAACCCGGCCGCGGGGGCGGGTGCCTGCCGGGGTGGGGCGTTACCTCGGTGGCCACCGTCACCCGGAGCGTCGAAGACAGCAACGTGTATCGGCCGTTAATGCGTAATTGCCGTTAACAGGAGCATTAAAATGCACCGACAGGCAGCAGCATTCGTGTGTGAAACACATAGGGGGGGTCGTACTTTTCCGCTGGGGAGGGGGTCGTATTTGGGGTAAGACAAATTTATTTTGATAGTTGATTTTTTCTTGTGGAAAAAGGGGGTCGTATTAATTCGTATTAATTTTTTGTGTTATATGCACCCTGTACACCTGCCGGATATACGCTTGGCATAGTTATTAGTTATTGTATACCCCCGCCCGTTCGAGAAAGGGGCGACATTTTTCGCCACTATATACTGCTTGCTGCGTCATCGGCGGATAGCGTGAGCTGAGGGGGTGAGGGGGGGGTCGTACTACACCCGACCATTTCGACTGATCCCGTAGCCTAAACGCACCTCAAACTTGGGTAACTAGACCGATTACGGTGCGCCCGATTGTGTGCGTTCACGACGGACATTTTTGACTTCACGCGCAATTTTGGGGGTACTGTACACCGCCTAACAACCTGAACTTATAATCTGGTAAAGCTAACAGCTTCAGCTCGTGACCCTATTACTTGCGGCATTCTCCTTTGTCTCCTTTTGCTCCTGCACAGAAACAGCATACCACATCTTTATGTAAGTTTTTTGATGCACTTTAATGGTATGAACGACTTGTCTACTCGGCAGCTATATACTTATATTCACCCAATATTTAACAGGCAGCTGCAACATTTACAGAAGACGCTTTACAGTGTTGCACCAGTACAGTCCTAATTAGATAATTCTGACAACTGGGTTTGAGCATGGCGAACTGCTTGTCAATCAAATAAAGGTTAATGTACTCTCGCGTCGAGGAGATCGACAAATCGTGCATTTTTTGGATTTGCTCGATTTGATGGGCTGAAGGTGATCTTCGTGAAAACAGCGCACACTGAATTTATTTCTCAGTCGGGGTACATAATCTAAAAACTAATTCAATAATTGGTGTTCCCAGAGACGCAGCTCTGCCGCTTCATGAGACGCTGAGAGGGTTGCTTTGTATGTAGACACATTGAAGGTTATGTAGAGATAGGAAAGGCAACCTAGAAAATGTCACTGCGAAAATTCCAAACAATCACAAGGACAACAAGAATTTCCGAAAATAATTTGTTTATTACTCGATATTTTGCAGAAGGGCGGAGATGGTGCAGTGGCACGTTTATCACTACACCACGCGGTCTGTTCAAATCCTGGATCGACTCCCGCTCAGGCCAACCAAGCATTCTACCCTTCCGCGGACGGTATATTGGTATTGGGAGGACAAGTATCCTGACCTTAACACCGGCTGGCCCCCGCAATTCATATCGAAATAGCGTATACTCCACATCGCAATCAGTACGCAAGCACGATTCTGAATTGAAGAAGAATGCGTGCCGCATCCCACAAAGGGGGTGATCAAAGCGAAGACTTCATGCTTTTGTCTATGTCTTTTTGCAGGAACTTTTAGATGCTTTTGGATCTCTAGAATGTTTGCAAAGAAATTTCTGATGCCTCTTTAGGTTTTTACATTCATTCCCGATGCGGCATAGCACAATACTACACTGAACGATTTCGACCAGCCGTTATCTTAGACAACTGCTCAAGGAAAATAAGCAGTAATTAGGGGTTTTGGTAAGTACATATTTTGATTTTCGGACGCGCAGAAATTTTTGATTTGCCATCCTGGCCTAAATAATGCGACAATGATGACAACGAAGCTGTCGAAAACGCATGGCAGACGTGTTTAATTATGTACCAGTAGCTGATAAGCGATTCCACAAAGAAGAGAAAAGACAGAGTAATCTCTGAGAACACCATAAACAAGATCTCCCTGACATACAACACAACTCAATTGTACGGCTATACGTATTTGCTGCAACTTGGCGGCCCTTGTTAACCTTTGTGTATCCCCTGACTCATAGTTCGCTTTTTTGCAGTTCGCAGTACTAAATGCGAAGAACGCAACGCAAGGAAAAGAAAACGAAAAGCAACAAAATTGCTGACGCAAAATCGTAACAGAGAGAAACTTTCAAAAACTCGTGTGTTCAAGAATAGGGTCACGGTAAGCAATGCACGCCGAGGTTTTGCACCAGCCAATTGCTAGCACACTGGTGATTTGAACGCGTTTTATATGGCGGAAATGTATGTGCGTCTAATGAGGGAAATGTTAGAAGAGCAGAATTACTCCGGAGCATGAGCGCGGTCGTCGAAAATGGATATGCAATTCGGATTTATGTCTGCTGCGCCAACAAAGAACAAATGAGCGCCCCTGCGTTAGGTGTGAAGAGGCCTTTCGTTGGGTCGGCGGTAAAACTGGAAGCATGCTAGAAGTAGAACTTCCGGCGGCTGTAGCACTCGCTGTGGAGTCGCGGAAGTAAGCAGTCTCTACGTGTGTAAGCTAGACTGCTTGCACAAGGAAGGACGGCCACAAGTTGCTTGGGCGCGGCGTCTGCCTTTAAGGCAAACATGCCATCTGTTGGGCTATTGCACAGTGCAGTTATATCATTGGAGTTGAGCGTGTCTTACCTTGCAATACGGATTGCTTTTGACTGTATGCCCCCCCTATCAAAAAGGTAATGAAGAAGAGCAGAATTTCCAACGAACACGAGCGCGGTCAGCAAAAATGGGCGTACATTTCGGTTTCCCTGCCGTTCCACCAGACAACAACAGAGCGCTCGTGCGTTGAGGTAAACAGGGCGTTTTCGGTGGGGCATGCAACTCAGGGGGTGTCAAAGGTAGCCACAGCCGGTCGTCTTTCTTCGTGGCGCCGCAAAAGTGAGTCAGTCCCCGCGATTACACACCGGACTACTCAGGCAAGGGAGAAATCCCACGAATTGGATGAGGGGTTCGTCTTCAAAAGTGCAGCTCAACGTAAGCAGCGCAAGGGTGGGCACAACATAAAACTACTCACCTCGACGACACAATCTGACGAATTCATACCGAAAATCCCGATGCAGCCAGATGTAGACGAATATATTGAACGATGAGTTGACTTATGCTAGCCCAATTGAACATCTGCGATACCCATTCGTCCATACCAGCCTGTAACAACCGTACTCGGATTAGAATGAAAATGAGATCTTGAAACCCAAGGACTGTGGTTGCTTATGCGAGCGGAATGGCTTCATTTGCTGGTAGGATGCAGGTCAGGAGATCTGAATAGCGACGATGTGGTGGCGTCAGGTCAGAGCGGCGTCAACCTCCCACGATGTGAGCGGCATTCACTCACAAAACTGGACGATTCAACGCCAAAAACTCAAAACCAGAAAACTAACTATAAGCAAGCAAGTAAATGCATCCAGCTGCTTCTGAATATTTAATATTATTTATTATTTATTATATGAGTTCATTATTATATGAATATTTTTTTTACATTCGTTTTTCACATTTCCGTTCAGGGAGCTGACAAAAATTCGAGGAACTTACAAAACGCAGTTGATCGAGGAACAGCGACTTTACATTCGGTACTGATACCAATACTGTCGACAACACACCAAGCGCTAAACCGTAGCGTATTCGTTTCATCTGCTCCCGGAACGATCTGTAATGCCAAAGTCGGTATTCAGTGTACCTTGCTGCCCAGCTTGGTTCGTCGCAATCCTTGCGGGCAGTGCTCAAGAGGCCTTTTGCGGCTGCATCTTGCTACCAACAGTAGTGAGTCCTCCTGTTTTAGAAACGATTAGCTAATTAGTATGAAAACGCAGCTGTGAACGGACCCATTCCACTCCTAATGACCGCCCCGCTGGACCCGCTGCGATATCAACTATACTATTAGTTACAACTGCCTAGTCATCAGTGTAGTTGTAAAATAACCAGCATTACTTTATTAGAATCAGAAGTTTGGAGCTTCACAGAGGAAACAACTACGGGCTTTTTTATAGCGACACTGCCCGTATGTAGGCCATAACATTCAGTAGCATTCCAAAGAAGTAGCCCAGCATCTCCCAGTAATAAATAGATTGTGCATAAGCGACAGAAATGTCGCTTTCCGGCCTGAAAATATGGGTACATGCACGCTGAAGTTAATAAGCTGATACGCTGACATACGGAAATGAAGAAACTTCTAAGGTTTCTGTAAATCCTAATAGGCGCAAGAAGCTTCATGGTCAACACTAAAGTTCAAAATCTCAAAAAATTTAAAAATAAAAAATCTCCTGAAATTCCCTCCAATATTTTGCTAACACCTTCGTGAGGCCAGAAAGGTATCTTCATTAGATATCCATATTCCCTGAGATGGGGAAGGCGGGGCTCCGTATACCATGTGAACATGGCGAACATTGCGTTCTCAATTTCATTCGCGACAGCTGTCATCCCGCACCGTCCTGGACTAAAACATGATAGATAATCACCTAAAATGGCGGTATTCGCTAGAGCGCAGTTGACACGGTTCACCAGCTCGGCAGTCATGCAACACGCCCGTCTTCCCTATTCGCCGGATATGAACTGAATAACAATCGAGTGAAATGGTGACATAAACGGATACCGTTACCACTAATCGAACTCACATATCCCCTTCACATTGTTCATTTTGCACAAAGTCCTATTACCAATTAGACAAAACACCAGAACAGCGATCACGCTTATGGCGCAGAGGTGGATCGTCCTTGAAAAAAGTGTTATCATCGAAACATCAGGAGAAATCGTGAGAAAAATAAAAAAAATTGACTACCAGACACTGGGTATCAGCACTGTGCGTGAATTCGACTTTTCAGCTCGCCTTCCCGCGCGGATGGACACATTACCGACGAATTATCTGTGCGGATCGGACCTGATACCAGCGCACGCCAGCTCGCTTCTGATCATTTCTGAAATGACCCCCCCCCTCTAATTCAATACTAAAGTACTACCCCCCCCCTTTTGGGAGTTAGAGTTCCCCTCACAGCCCTCTGTCCCTTACCTCATCGAACCGAGCCATCGAGCGGGGCCCGGGGCGGGCGGGGTGGAGAGGTCGTTCAGAGCTTACACACTATTATCATACTCAAGTGTCGAGAATAGCTGGTGCGTCCAATGAACTACGCAAATACGACCCCCCCCCCTTGCTGGATGATCACAACGATGGCGTACCCTGCCTGTACCTCTGCCTTCCTCACTAAGGCGCCCCTAGCTCTTATTGTCAGGTTGAGAAGGGGCGCGTCAACGAGGAAGGTAGACCGGTCACCTGCTCCGCCCATATGACTTGCGTGAACTGCACCTTGTAGGTCCACTCACATTGATTCGTGGATCGCGATCTGTTCACTACTTATGGGACTAAGTAAGGATAGTAAGATGCTACGAAATCAAACGGGCTGGAGCAGATTCAATCTGTAGGTTCGCAAGAGATTTGAATCTCTAGCCAATATAAATAATCAGCTATGTTAATACCGTCCATACCTCGGCGTTGGAAGATTCTGACTATGTTAAATAGAATTTTGAACATTCGGTGTCCTGTCGTGCTACACTAGTGCCCGATTTTCTTCGGATTATTTCGAAAGACCTGTTCCAGTAAAAAGTCCTGTTAAACAAAAAGGTTGACGTACCTCTCACGGACGTATTTTTTATAAACAACTGGTGACATGCATGCAATCACACGCTCTGTTCCCATAATCATCTGCACCATGGGCGGCCAAAGATTACCAACTATCCTGAAAAGGAGCGTTCTTCGACTTGGATTTATGGACTTTTTTGCATTACAAAAACAATTTTCTTATTGTTTTCTGAGCAGAATCAGGGCAGCTGGTGGCTGAGGGTTTTGTAACAGGTGGAATACTGTGCGATCGGATTGTATTTTAGTTGCGAGGGGGAGAGAGGGTGAATTTCTCAGAATTTCTTTAGCCGATAGATACATATACTCATACTCATGCATATACTCAAGATCCCTGAGATGCGGTAGGCGTGGCTACGTTTTTGGATTGAAGGTGGTGTCGGCTCAGCTTTTCGTAAGGTATTTCGGTTTAGGGAAAGTTTTAATCATGTCTCTGTTCAACACAGAACAAGTTGACAGCTGTCTCGAAATTGGAATTTCTCCGAGTAACCCATCCTATGCCATGTTCATATGCCACGCCTACCCCGTCCCAGGGATAAGGACTGTACAACTTGACCTACCTGAACCACATATACGGCTTGCCCGCACACGATAGCGACGTTTGCTGGGGAACGGCCCGGATTGGCAGTGATTGTATGTAAAGGGTGTATCTATCAAGCCCCATCATGGAGAAAGCGATACAGTTGATAAGATTACCAATGGCAAGGCAGATAAGCAACTGAAAGTGGGTTAAGAGTAAACACTCATTGTACAACGAATAAAGTGCCACTTCTCGGGCTCAACATTTCAAAATTCAGATTGTTTTTAGCGAGAGCTATAGTTACAATCAGAAAAGATTCGGCTAGAATACCACTACTACGTTTGCCCCTAAATTTTTAAACC